AAGAAGAATATATATAGGGATATATATAGGATACAAAAGGATAGATATAGGGAGCTCTTGGGGTGCAACACCTAAGGCATTTGATTGCTAACCAAAAGGCTGGTAGTTCAAACCCACCAGCCACTCCTTGGAAGGAAGGTCGGGCAATCTACTTCCATAGAGATACTGCCTTAGAAACCAAGGAGGGGTCGCTATGAGTGGAATTGACTCAACAACAGTGAGTTTGTAGTTTTTTGTGATCTATTTGGAGAAGAAATGGGTGTGGGTCCACTGTAACCTTTGTTGTTTGTTGTTGTTGTTATGTGCCGTCGAGTCAAACTGTAACCTTTGGTGGCCAGTAAATGAGGTTAGCAGGGGACATACCAGCCACAAATCGTAATCAATGGGCTGAGGCAGAAAGCACAGAGAAAGTAAAGATTCATTTTATTTCTTGGTGTTTGCTGTTTGCGGTGCAGTGCTGGAAGGATGCTAAGGCTGAATTCAGCAGGACGCAGTGTTGTGATCAATTACTGACATCTTGCAGGTGTTGTATTATGCCTGGAGACTGAAAGATATTGATAGGTATACTTGCCATGCTGCTTCTTTCTCTGGGAATTCTGCTACAACTCCCTACTCAGTTAAATATTGTCCTTAACTTACCCCCAGATTTCAAGGCTGCTCATTGTTTACTATATCAACACTGAACTTAATGAGCTAATCTATTTTAGTTTTATGTTACATTATTATTGATTTCCCATACCTTCTTAGTCTTCAGCTTTCCAGATCCAGGACATCTAAATACTCTGTGTCCTTCCACACAGTGGCCTACACTCTGTTAACATTATCTCTCATCTTCTCAGCCTCCACTACCGTTCTCACCATTCCCCTCCCAAGACGAGAAGCTCCTTGTGAGCAGGGACCACCTGTAAACCAAAATAAATAAATAAATAAATAAATGCTGTCGAGCTGATTCCAACTCTTAGTGACCTCCAAAAAACCAAACTCATTGCCATGGAGTCGGAGCGGACTTATGACAACCCCTCCTTGGGTTTCTGAGGTGGTATCTCTGCAGACGTAGATTGACCAATCTTCCGAGGAGTGGCTGGTGGGTTTGAACCATCAGCCTTCTGGTTAGCAGTCAAGTGCCTTTGGCACGACGCTAATGCTTAGTGTGACAAAATTATTAGAACTACCCTCTATGAAGACTGTCTACATTTTCCTATATTCACATTGACTTCTGTTAACCAACTGGAATTCCATTCACTCAACATTAATCACTGAGGTGTCTCACAACCCACGTACCTTCAGATTGGAAGGTGAGGCTAGTGTTTTTATCACCCCAAAACTACTTCCAAGACACGACTCCTCTAACAATCACCACTCATTAGAAGCTCCTCTCACCTGGCTGGACAATCCCCTACTCTTCCAGTCCATGGATCTCAAACCTGCCTTTCCTCATCCCATGAAAACTTTGGCCCCTGATTCATGATCTTCTTTGTCTCAAATGCTGCAGTCATTCTAATTGCCATGAGAGAATAAAGAATAGCTGAGTGATAAGGAAGTAGTGGGAAGTGGGGAAGGAAGTCAAGTCTTGTGCTTTTGTTCTTAAATCCCTAATATGGTGAAACCTGTGAGAGCCAGGACTCAATGAGACTGCCCTGTTTTTCCATGTCTCACAAACTTTCTGCCTTTGACATGTTGCAGTCTTACCACTTTTCTATTGCTCATTTTGTGGAAAATATTTGTTTTCCTACTCTAACAGGTTTCTGCCTTACACAGGTTCCAGCTTTCACAAGCTTTACAGTACCAATGTATATTTAAAATCTGAGAGTACTGTTGTATTATTTACCACTTTGTTTATGTAAAAAGAAGTTCTTAATGGAAAAACTTCCAAAGAAGTACCGTAGCATACGAGTTAAAAACATGGGCTGGGCAAAAAGTCCTGTGTTCACAGTCACTTACTAGGTAGGAGACCTGAGTTAGATACCTTTATCCTTTTGAAGCTTCATTTTTCTTTGCTTGTGAAATAGGGATGATAATAGTTGCTACCTCACTTAACATAGTGTCAGAAAATGTTGCTATCATTATTTACACGATTGTTCATATTGAAATTAAGAAGTAATAAAATATTTTTTGCTCTTAGTTCTTTTCCCTTCATGATAGCTACTACCATTCTCCTGATTGTGTGTGCTATTTGTACAGAACATATAGCTTCAATACAGGGGAAAAAGGAAGCCTTATGTAAGATTGCAGTGATGCTTAAGTGTCACAATATTATGCTAGACAGTATTTACTAATCAAAGTTATTTTAGAAATAGTGAAATGTGTTGCTTTAAGGCTTGGACACATATATAAACAAGTTAAGGTCTTTTGACACATTATATAGGATGATTGTAGTATTACCTCCTAATCCAAGTTTCTACTTAGATTTGAAAAATAGGATTTTGGTATGTTTCTCCTTTCACAGCTTGTAAAATTATCAGGAACTTGAGGCCAATTATACCCTAAATTTCAAAATGAAAGCTACTGACTAATTTCTTTCAAAACTGACTTATACGATTAAGATATTTTTCTATTTTTTTTCTCCTCCGCCATTCAGCAATAATACAAATGAAAAATCTAAAGAAGTGATTATCCACTTAAATTCTCAAGAAGGCAGCCGTGTTCATCCTCAAACTCTGCAACCAAATCAGGAAAATAGCAGGTACCCAGTATACATATTGAATTTAAAATGTTTTCAGCAACTCAAATATCACAAATGGAAATAGGATTTGAACATGATATTGCAGTAGATACATTGGGTCATTGATATCAAAGAATTTTAAGAAAATAGTCAGAAGCCAGAAATCACTTGTTTCTTTTCTTGGATTTTTATTTCCAGGGAGGGATTTGGGGGTAAGGACTCTGTCAGTGCCATGTACAAGCACTGTGTTTTCAAAGCATTCCTATACACTTGTATATTTATACTACAAACTTTGGAGAAATCATAAGCATTTCTTTTCCTGGTGGAACCCTAGCATTTGCCACCTGGCATGGCTCCAAGTCTTCCAAAACCAAAACCAAAAAGGAGCTCTGGTGGTGCAGTGACTAATGCATTTGACTGCTAACCAGTAGGTTGGTGGTTCAAACCCACCAGCCACTCTGAGGAAGGAAGACGGGGCAATCTACTTCTGCAAAGATTTACTGCCTCAGAAACCCAACAGGGGTCGGAAAACAAGTATCCCAGAGGGTCTCTAAAGGAGCCTGTTGAGACTTCACTCTTTCCGATTTCCAACTTTCACTGAAGTCTCTACCCTTGAGCTTCACCTGGCCTCTTACAGCTGTTCTCTTCTTTCTGTCCTTCTCTACTTGTGCTTATCATACCTATCCCTTTATTCCATTTATCCAAGTAGCCTCACCACAAGCGGTTATATAAGTATTTATTAAAGGTTTGGGCATGAAAAGGGAGACTATAACACAACCCAAAGCAGCACACTAAACTAAAAAATATCCATCCATGCCAGTGGACCACAAATATAACATGTGGGGCAAAATCAGTAGGCCACCTGTTTTTCTATGAAGTTTTACAGAAACACAGTCACACCCATTCTTTATTTAGTGTGTATGGGTATTTCCACACTGCAACAGCAGAACTGAGTATGTAGTTTCAACAGAGACTCAAAGACCCACAAAACTGAAAATATTTACTACCTGATGCTTTACAGGAAGAATTTGCCAACTCTTGAATTGTATCCTGTTGTTGTGTGCCATGGGGTGGATTCTGACTGATACCACAAAGAATTTCTCACTGGCTAGTCCCCCTTTAAGCCGTGGCTTCCCACCCTTTCCGAGGCCTCTCTCATTAGACACTTTTCCTTTTTGTTCAGATCTATTCTATATCCTCAGAGTTCCTCATTTTGACTGCTGGGTTTCCTGCACATTTATTAGTCTGTTTTTCTTTGCCATCACTGCAATTCACCTGGCCCTTGCTTACTCTCACTGCCTGTTGTTGTTGTTGTTATTTGCCATCAAGTCGGCCCCGACTCATAGCGACCCCTCCTTGGGTTTCCGAGGCAGTATCACTACGGAAGTAGGAATGCCCAACCTTCCTTCCAAGG